ATAAATTATTATTTTGATAAACTTTTTAATTTTAATTAATATCCAAATCCAAACCCCTCATGGCTTCCAGTATTGTTTGGAAATTTTTTAAGAAAGATAAAAACGAGAAGTTTTCCAAGTGCAATTTATGCCAGTCTTTTATTTCGAGAGATGGAAAAAATGCTAAAACTTTCGCCACCAAAAACATGATAAATCATCTGGAAAAATGTCATCATGAAAATTTTTTAAAATAAACTTAAAAGATGAAAAGAGAAAGTTCCAAAACGAAAGAAGCTGGATGTTCATCAGTAACAACGGAAACTCATATCCAAAGACAAGCTACTTTAACTCAATTAATAGAGAAGAAAAAATTGTGGAATATCAATGATCCAAAGAAGTTCATCATTTGATTAGATAAATGATAAGTGTAGATATACAGCCATACTTTGTTGTATCAGATTTAGGATTTCATTGAAAAAATTGTTCTACTTTTAAAACCATTTGAAGAAATTACTGTGGAAACTAGCAACCGAGAAACCACCTTATCTTCAATAATTCACACAATAGAGACTCTGAAATTATTCTTATTATCAAAAGTAAAGAGCAGTAGTTCCTTTAGTGGCATTAATACCACAATAGAAAGACTAGAAAATTCAATATAAATAGATTTTCAGCATATATAGAAAACAAGTCGTTATGGTTGTCATCCTTATTAGATCCAAGATTCAAAATTAAATTTAAAAAAAAAGATGGTAGAGGAAATAAAAAGATGGACAATCGATAGCTTAGATGATGTTGATAATTCAAAATCTCAAGAAGAATTAAATTCTGAAGCTTCTACTTCTGGAAACGATCAAGATGGAGGATAATCTCCGAGTTTTTCTAATTTATTTGATGAATTAGCTTGTGGTGAATAGAAGAATGAATAAGAGCATGTTTTTAAAAAGGAAGAAACAACAAAAAAAACGATTTAATCAAGAATTAGAAAAATATTTACATTTACCTCTTATACAAAGACATAGCAACCCATTTTTGTGGTGGAGAAGTTCAAAAGAATTTTTTTCTAATTTAAGCAAAATAGCTATGAAATATCTAAGTCCCCCAGCATCTTCCATTGAAAGTGAAAGAATTTTCAGAGTTGGAGGTAACATTTAAGAGCCCTGAAAATGGTGAAATTCTCATGTTTTTGTATTACAGTTTAAGGGTTTTAAAGTTTGAATATTAAATTTTTATTTGTTTTATATATTTAAAGTTTAAACTTTAAATAAAACACAGTTTTGAATAGGTTACATTATACCTTATGATATGTATTGATAAAAGAAATAATTTAAGTTAAAATTTTTTTTAATATTTAGATTGTCATGTAATAAATAATAAATATATAACAGAAATTTATTATTTTTTATTACTAGACATGACATGCTAACAAAAATATTAAAATGCAAAATTGGCCAATTATTAAAACCTATTAATTGGGGAAATGGCCGATACTGATTAATTGAGAAAATGGCCACTTACTGATTAATTGGTGCATCCTTAGTATTTATGAATCCAGACCCTGGAAACAAAGATTGAATGGAAGTCCTATGTTAGTTGCATAAATGGTAATGTGCCTATCTAGTATGTAGGAATTACAAGCTTAATTCTTAATGTTTTTTGAAAATTTTAATAATAATCAACTTGTATTGTTTATTATGGTTAGGTACTGTAGTTACAAGTAATAAATGCAATGCAAACACCATAAAACACTCCCCATTTGCAACCTTTCCTATCATCATTTAAACTTTCTCTTCATGCTGACTCCTCCCCTCAATTCTTTCCAACCAGATAATATCACTGAATCAGCCTGGTCTTCCAAACTTTATGCTAGTAGTAATAATATTCAACTTTTAATTTCCAGCAAATAATTTAAAAATAAACATTTTCAGGTACTTTTAGAAGCCATCATCAGGTTGAACAATCAATACAATACAATTGCTAAAAGCAGTTGAAAATGTTTGTTTGTTTTCAAATTATTTACCAGATATTAAAAGTTGGATATTATTGATATTTGGAATTTGAATTCAGCTATATATAAATTTCTCTCCTAAAATTTTTAAAATTATTTAATTAATTACTAATTATTTAATTTAGATACAAGATTATAGTGCAATCATCTACTTTTTTAGATCAAATTTAGATAAATGTTTAGCATAGATACAGCTTAAAAATAATTCTTACTTTAGGTTTATATTTGATTAATAATTACTACTAAAATTTCATTTCTAAAANGTCAGCAACCACTACAGCTGTTTATTGTGGTTATTGTTAGGTCACATGAGCAGTCGCATGTGTAGGCAGTTGGACTCAGGATGGAGAAGGTTCGGAGACAGCATAATGGAAGGAATTACTTTATTGTTTATTTTTCAGTGATTTTTAGTATCAAATGATCTTCAGTTCATTTTGCTATAGGATAAAATTAATACATTTTTTTCATATGCATTACAATTCATTAAAAATACAAAATTCATTACATTTTTAATATGCTAATGTAAAATATTTTTTAAAAAATTCTAGTTAAAAGCTTCAGCTACAGCAGATTTAAAAGGAAAACCAAAATTCACATCTGTACAGTGGAATCCCCATCAAAATTGCAGCCAAATAGCCACTGCTGTTGATACCAGTATCCGAGGTTGGGATTTAAGATCTATGCAGTATGTACAGTTTAGTTAAATACAGTGTTACATATAAACTACTAGTTAATATTAAAAATAATTATTTTTTAGATTATATTTAAAGGTTTGAGAATAAAATTATCTTAATTTCATAGTAATAAAAAATGGAGGTTATTCACGGATAGTAGTATGCTTGAAATAGCTCTGTTGTGATAAAAGTTATTTTATGAAAAAATGTAATTATTAAAATCAAATTAAATTGAATTAAAACATTGAATCAATTAAGACTACAGTATTATCAAATGATCAAATAAGTTGAGATGGCATTTTTATATGATCACTTTTGACACTAACATATACAGTACAATGCAAGTAATTTCTTATATATGGGACCAGAACACTATTGGTTTAAGATTACTGGATTATTAGAAGTAAGGTGAATTCAATGGTTTAATCAATTGGAAAACGTTTATTTATTTGCATGATATTAGTGCATTGATTAGTGCATTGTATTAAGTTGGGCTACTGATCAAGACTGTTACTAGGAGCACTGATACGGACCATGCTCATTTTCACATTTCAATGGCATTGTACTAGTTGAATATGTTTCTGGTAAAGTTGTTTCACATAATTTTATTTGTATGAGCGCAAAGGTGAATAAGACAATAGTGTGATTAACTGGTATGGTTTACTGCTTTGTACCATGTTGCAAATCGACAAAGGAAATTCATGGAATGAAACCTGGCATGTCATTCCATGAATTTCCTTTGCAGGATAGTTTATGAAAGGCATGGATAAAAAAATATCCAGAAAAGACGCCAAAGGAGGCTTGCTGCAGCCTAATGACAGGTAAGTTGGAATATTATGAAAAAAATAATACATGGAGACAGTGGAGGATTTCTGCACTGGTACACCTGGGGCTCATAAATCAAGGACCCCTTAAAATTCAGCTCTCAAAATAAAAAAAATTATTTTAATTAATTATTATTTTTTTCATAATAAAAATAATTAATAATTTAGCAGCATTCCCTAAATTAAATTGTCAAATGAATAATGTCAGCTATGACATTTTTTATGGTCAATGGATTACTAGATTTTTTTTTTGTTTTTGACACTTTTACCTATTGAAACTTAATAATTCTTGTACCAATAAGTTTAAATTTTGATAATGTAACACAATCTGAACATCAATAACCTTTTAAATACAGCCAGGCAGTTGTAATTTTATATTGGTTAATTTTCAATGTTATTTCCCTGTGCCTCACTTTTTTTGGACCACCAGTATCTTAATTTAACATGTAATTATTTTTTAAAAAGGCAATGAAGCTTTTTTCTTTAAATGCAGTTGCATGTGCAAATGACAGTTTTTGAAGAAAGCATATTTTTACTATTTTATATTTTTAATAGCAAAAAATTATAAATTTTCTCAAGAATAATTAAATAAAATCACGGTCTTATAGATCCGACATGGATTTTTGAAAGATAAATGTGACAATAAATTATTTTTGGATTTTTTTTCACTCAACTCATGTAATATATGATATTCCATGGCCTGTAACAGTGTTCCTATCGATGTTATCATGAAATTGCCTTGACAGACTCCAAACAATGGGATTGAGGAGCTAAGAATAGGCCTTGATATATATGAGAAGGCCATATTAAAAGATTTTTTATAACAAAAACTACATCCAGAAAAGAATTTAGTTTGTTTATTATGAATATATGTATGTAAATTTATATTAATAGGCAAATCTGGTTGATTGAAGGAGCTCATGGACAATTAGTGCGAGAATTTGATTTTAATCCTAATCGACAATATTATCTTGCATCATGTGGTGATGACTGTCATGCAAAATTTTGGGATATAAGAAATTCTAACATTCCAGTTATGATTCTTTCTAATCATTCTCATTGGTAAGTAAAAGAATTTAATTTTATTGTTTATTTTTCAGTGATTTTTAGTATCAAATGATCTTCAGTTATAAATGAATACTCATTTAATGAATGTATATTATGAATTGAAAATTATTTCAAACCAAGTTTTTTTTCTTTCAAAAATCTGATTTTTAATAACAGTATATTTGCATGTAACTTATTAAAACTAAATGACTTCAATGCAATCAAAGTATTAATTCACAAATCTTCATAAATTTAACAGTCAGTGAAGTCCATAAAGATCCTTTTTTCTAGTCCTCATAACTATTTTTGCCAGCACTTCTGATAAAAAGAACCAATTTAATAATCTTGTTTTTGTAGAAAAATACAACCATTAAGCCAAAAGTAATTGCTGTATATCGCTAACTCTAAAGCCTCTTACAGCAAGTACTTGATGAACATGAACACTACTATATAACAATAAGAAATTTGCTAACATAACTTGCTCAAATATAGGAACAGAAGGATATAAAGAAATTGTATCAGTTTTATAGAAAGTCTGTATGATAGAGGAGAAAAGTTTCCTAGCTTCTTGAATATATGGTTTTTGGCTTCTAGGAATGATAAACAATATAAAAATAATCTCCCACAAGAGAAGAAAATAAAGAGACTAAAGGCTTTTCTAAGCAGAAGACAAGATGAGAGACAAGATGAGACCTTTTGTTTAACAAAGACCTATAAAGCCGATCTACTTTATGAGTTTTTACTTCATAAAACAAGCATGGATATGCAATGTTTAAGAAGGATTTAATCTACTGGACAACAAAGAGTGAAGAACAGGTTACCTAAAATTCTCTTAACCTTAACTAGAGTAATTGAATCATTGAAGAAGGATCTCTGTTTAGCAAAGTAAAACCTAATTGGACCAAGAACATCTCTTCCCTATCTAAAGAAAATCTGCATTTGTATAAAACACAAGCTATCTAATCTTATCAGATATTAACTGGTGGTTAGGTAAAAGCTTGTAAAGAAATTTTTTGGCTAAACAGCAAAGTTAAAAATGTATGAAAAGATAAGAACAAGAACGGATCCACGCTAATCGAATTTTACGTTGTAGGAATGATTAAATACATGAGCCAATCGCAGCCCGATAGGTGTGAACTTTACGGACTAAGGCTGTTTGAAAGGTTTTCTTCTATAAAATTAACCGATTCTAGACTAATTCCACTCAACATTTCCAAAACATGTATAAGTTTTTGGGAATAATCTGTATAAACTATGCTATAAACAAAAAATTATAGGATTACTTACCGAGTGTGTACCGTTCGACTACGCCGTTGCTCAAAGCTTGTTTTCGTCGCGGAACAGCACACGAAATGGTGGCCGCGATTTCTGATAACGAATTTTTCGCAGAAAAATAACTTGACCTTTGGAGACATCATTAATATAAATAATTTTTATGGCCGTTGAATAAGAAGTGTTTCTTTCACAAGAAATGTATAAAATTAGTGCTGTATTAGACTTACGGTACCTAATTTACATACTGTACAGACGATAATAAACTCAACTTACTAGCCTAAAATCTCCGTAGCGTGTTGCCAGGCGGCAGAAAGCATATATATAATTATAATAAAGTTACAATAAATTAAGTTAATATATAATTATATATACAGTACCTAATTTATATATAATTAATATATAATTATATGTACAGTACCTAATTTATATATAATACTGTACAGACGATAGTAAACTCAATTTACCCGCCTAAACTCTCTGTAGCGTGGCACAGGGCAGAGGAAAGTAGTTCAGCTGCTCATCCACTATTGGTCCAGATTCTATCAATCTTGTCGCGAAACGAGTCGGCGACGACGTTTTAGGAGCTCCTTTATACATATGTTGCTACAATTTTTTCGCTACGTTATAGGAATTGTCGTTATAGTAACGCACGTTATAGGGGGGTCGACTGTATATATGATTATGATAGTTTATATATAAAATTTTGTCTATGTATTAGGTTAAAATCTATTTTATTATACACTTACTGTAGCAATATATGACAAAATTCATCAAAATTTAAAGATTTACAGTAAATATTAGATTCATATCATATTTTCTATGCAGTAACATGAAAGCTATTTCTATATTCCTTAATATGATGTGATATATCAGAGACATTGAATTTGCAAGTTTTGTAAGCTTTTGTAATAAGTTGAAACTAAGATTTATATTTCTATTAATATTTCTATTAATTAATTAAATTGCTGTTTATTTCCCATCTAAGAATTATTTTAAATTTAAATATTTTTTTATTGTTCTGACACCGCTGTGATTGCTGGAGTTCACTTTTTTTTTTTGTTTTGCAATTTTACCTAAACTACACAATTTTTTGTATCCTTCACTTTTTGAACTTGCCCTTTAAGTTTTTTGTATTTCCAGTGGGAAATATATCGCACTGCTGACACCAGGGTCATAATGCACAAAGTGCCCCCTATTTCTTCTGCACCACCTGACTGATAGGTTGACACCATGTCAGCAACCACTACAGCTGTTTATTTTGGTTATTGTTAGGTCACATGAGCAGTCGCATGTGTAGGCAGTTGGACTCAGGATGGAGAAGGTTCGGAGACAGCATAATGGAAGGAATTACACTCAATACAGATTAAACAAAACAAATGTTCATTTATTAATTAAAGGATTCTACATTCTAACAAGTCCTTTTAGTTGCGAGTCGTTAAACGTGAGAGAGAGAGTTTACAAAGTGATCATGGATGGCCTGATAAATACCTTGTTGTGGAGGTTGTTGCTTCACATAGGAGGTTTGATGCTTGTTGACTGGAGGATCAAGGATCATTTGGGATCATTTAGGAAAAGGTCTAAATCATGCTAATTCATCTTTAGATGTGAAATGGTTGGTGACTTTTTAAAACTTTTCAGACAACTCCTGCAATGGTATAATTCGGTGGTTTTTCAACCTTTTTCTTATCGCAGACCAGTAAAATTATGTTATAATTTTACACGGACCAGTAATTATAATCAACTATGAATTATGCTTGTATATGCTTATCTAGAGTTACTGTATATAACAAAGTATCTACAGTAGCTCTAGATTACTGCTGAATTATNAAAAAAAAAAAAAAAAAAAAAAGTGAAGTAGGTGAGACCCAGATACAACTGGACTGTTGGAGGAACTGGTTATGACTCTCTCAATCGGTCATTCCGTTGTATATTAAAATAGCAAAATATCTTGGAGATGTCACAAAGGTCATGGGAAAGGTGTCAATTCTGATATGGAGAAAGTGTAAATTGAAATACACTCAGGCCAAAAATCTAATGGGCTGATGAAGTCATCCTGTAGTTCTTTCCCTTTTTCTTTAGTTAAGTTTGGTACTCACATGCAGCAATTGACGATAGAATGGCAAAATGATGTCACTTTTGCCATCAAAGCCAACAAAATATGAAGTTAAAAATTTTCAACTTTTGCTGTTGTGGAAAGTGGCATGGTAAAAATTAGACCAATGGGAAGACCATTTGGCAATGCCATCATAAAGGTCACATGGGACGATAGCATTCGAACCATGGTGGTCAGCAAGACTAAAAAGCTTTATTTATATACTAATGTATTTCATTTATATGCTATATTACTATCTGATTTTAATATTAATGTCGAATAGACATACTGGGTAAAGTATTCAGAATGGCATAATTGTAATTCGGTTATGAAAGTATTCAATATTCCTAACTTTCAACGATTTAGAATATTTTTCTTATCCAAATTCTTCATTTTTGAGCTTTTTTATTTGCGATAAGATCATAGGCAAACTTAGAAAGTTTAATTGATATAACAAAGCAATCCTGGTAGCATCATTTTCGACTACTGGCTCATGGCCTACCTACTTTAGTAGCTGTTTAAATTTATGGCTGGCAGATGGCACATGTTTCAATTGTAGGGTACTTTCCACATGTGAGTACATGTGACATGGAAAGATGACAGAACAGCAACCATTTCCATCATCCATTTCCGCATGTGAGTACCAGGTTATAGTCTGGGTTCTCACACACAACTCATTATGTAAAATTGCATCTATCATACTCATATCTGTTTTGTTTTTTTTTACTTTTAAAGATGTACTTACTTCTAGCTACTGCTGTATTTATATATATTGTATAGGATCACATTCAATTAAATAATTTATAAGGGTAAGTCAAAAGTTTTACATCATGGAATACATTATTTAATTTTAAGACTTATTGAATTTGTAAGCTGGAACTAACATATAACACAGAAAATTCACATTTTTCTCACACTTTTAACTATTTAACTATTTAATACTTTTAACTAGTAACTATTTAATAAACAAATGTTTTTGGTTACATTCAGGGGCCTGCAGGTTAAGCATATACAAAATCAAATTTATATAAAGTAGACCCCCCATAACACAGTAGATATGTTCTGTGTTTTATGAAATTCATGTTCTACGAGTCCTTAAATACATGAGCCAATCACAGCCCGGCACATATGCAGTTTACGGACTATGGCTGTTTGAAAGGTTTTCTTCTATAAAATTAATCGATTCTAGACTAATTTGACTCAACATTTCCAAAACACATATAATTTTTTGGGAATAATCCATATAAACTATGCTATAAACAAAAAATTGTAGGAGTACTTACCGAGTGTGCACTGTTCGACTACGCCATTGCTTAAGCTTGTTTTCGTCATGGAGCTTGTCATTGAACGGTGGGAACGTGTTTCCTGATAAATTATTTTTCTGTGAAAAATTTGCTGTACTTTGGAGACATCATTAATATAAATATAATTTTAATGGATGTTAAATAATAAATGGTTTTTAGTAGGTCCACTGCTTGTTTAAACTCAACGGTTTGAGCAATATCCACTATTGGTCTATATTTGCCCAATCCTGTCACAACACGAGTCGGCAATGATGTTTTACTGTATTATACGAGTCTCTTTTAGCGTGTTTATATGAATATGGTCGCAATTTTTTCACCGTTATATACGAATCCATATTATATGA